CGTCTCTATTTGATCCTGTCGACACACACACACACACACACACACAAACACACACACGCACACAAGAAGAATAACAAACCAAAATTGATACATGTATAGCACGAATAAACACTGAAAAAAAACAACACTAGAATGTTTTTTTGTGGAATGCACATACGCTGCCTGATTGACTAATTTTATCAGAATAAAATTTTATCCAACAAAACCGGGATATTACAAGCGCTTGACTAACTATAATTTCGGCTGTAATACTTTCTTTTTATAGCACATACCTCAGAGGGTTTTATCTCAAATTCACTTTTTCCTCTGTTTTATGTATTATAGTACACTATGGTGAGTAAATCCAATTAGGCTAGATAGGTTAACATGAGATAACGGATAGAGTGGCATCTTATTTATAAAAAAAAACCTGGAAAAAATAGTCCGTGGTGATTTCGTTTGAAGATGTAAGCACATTTAAAACATAAAATAGCGAGATCATATATTATTTTTCTAAAAATAACGAGAAAAAACGAGAATGAAAATTGAAAAATATAAATTTGCCTATATAAATTTTGATAACGATGAATTTTGTCACACACATTTTATAATTCGGGATGTTCATCTAAACAAAAAGAGCAAAAATCAAGAGATTACTCGTACAGAATGAAGTTGTCTAAATGATTATTGGATAATTCAATTTTGAAAAATGATCGCACATTCAACATTTTATGGAGAATGTACTGTATCTGTAGTAGTTACAAGAGGTGATATTTTTGATTGAAATGATAATTTTTTAGTCTACATACCAGTATCGATATCTTTCTTGTCATCTGGCAGCCTTTCTGATTGTATATCATCATTATCATCATCTTTTATCGTATCGGCTTTTTGCTCAAATAATTTCTCAAGATCATCTACATCTGGTTTCGTTTCATCCATACTTTCTCTTAACTGTTCTTCGTCAGCTGGTTTCGTATCATCAATATTTGTTTTATTAGCATCCGACGATGTCTTTGATGTTGAACTTGTTGGTGGTTTTGGTGTCGTTTTTGGTTTGGGTACAAAACGTTGAGCTTTATTAAGTAAATAACTGACTTCACGTTTTAAATAGACAATTTTATCTTCAATATCGGATGACAGATATTTCGGAGTATCTGTCGGTTTTGTACGTTCTTGTTCAGCTAACACTGTAGCGCGCCATGCCTAAAATTAGTTTTTTTTTGTTAAATAATCACGTTGCTATTCGATTGCTTTCCACATTAAACAGATTTAGTAAGTGTATTGTTATTCGTAAAAATTGGCGAAATCTCAAAACAGAGATAGGTTTACGAAACTAGTCTCTTTGTTCTATAAAAAAGGAATTTATTTAGTTTATTCTTACTAGAGTTTCTTTGATCACTTTTTCTAATGATTTAATTTCAACATCGGTGAATGGTTGATCTTCACCAGTCATTGTCCTTGCTGATGTCAAAAAATGTTCAGTTAAATTCAATGTATCTTTTAAGTCTTTTAACATTAATGGAAACTGTTCGTGTTCCTTAACTCGAAGTTTTACTGGACGTGTCAATGATTTCAATTCATCTAACTTCGATTTGAACGACTAAAAATAGAAACATTAGTTATCATAAGAGTAGCGGCTAAAATCAATGGGACAAAAACCACTTAATGATGATCGACTCGCAAACTTAAATTACATCAATGTGTTTGTATTGCAATATGAGTAATGTAATTGTGTTTGTTTATTAAAAATGATCTATAATTCATGATATTGTATCCAGAAATGACAATATGAGTTTCTAGTTTTCGCAATCTATTCAGATTTCGGTTTTTGTTTCATGTTTTTATTATGAAATTAGTCATTCTTCTTAATTGAAAGAATTTTACAAACAGACCGTTTTCTTTTCTTAATACTAGTCCATGCGTGATGTGATCTCATCGAACTCATAGCGTTTAAGGTATGAACAAGCAACAATCCGCACAGTTCAATCGAATTATTAGCGACGTAAAAGATATTTTAGATGAATCGGTATTTCAGACGATTAAGTTTTGCATTACAAACAGTTCAAGATTTGCTTTCTAGCTACAAAGCACTTCGATGTTTGTCACCAATATTTCTTGCTTCGATTCAGAACAATTAATATATTAAATTAAGTTTTTAATTAAGACAATCTCAAGATTTACTAAGACTACCAGAATTATTTCGATATGAGGATAAGAACACTTCACTTGAGCACATTATGGGCAAGATGACATAAGTAGTGCGATCATTCAACAGGTTAATACTATTTAACGAGTTAGACTATGAATTGTTAGGATTCGAAACCATAAAAAATTAGTATTTCGCAAGAGGAATATAATCCTCAACTCAAATTCTGAAAAACCGTAATTCCAACAACATCAAAGTATTGCTTGATCAACTGACACATTTTGAAACATAACAATTCACCTTTCACCAAGAAAGCGCGATTATGCGTAATTTAGAAGTTTCGAGTTACGTATCATTCAAGATAGAAAAAGTTTTCATCATCGTCATCATTTAAGCGTTTCATTTTTAAAGTGTACTAACTTTAGCATCGCCCGTAAGTCCATCTCCTTCCCAGAGCCAATCGCTTATTTCCTGTAATTTCGTTTTTATTTTCTCTTGATCTTCTTCTGTCGTCGATGTCACATAGCGTTGATCATTCTCTATTTTGTCTTTCATATCATAGATAAACGCTTCCAAATTATTTTTAGCCGTTGCTAATTCATGTAACAAACGATCATTTGCATCCAATTCACGTAGTCTAAAAAGGATAGAATACAGTTGTTATAAAATCGACCAATAGAAAATAGCATAATACTTTTTGAATGATGATTCAATCATTGCTTCAGTTGGATCTATGGAATCTAGTAGTTCAATAGTAAATTCTAATGGTTCTTTTATAGTAATTAGTTTTGGTACACGAACGGTATCATTTTTAGCACCAGAAGATTCTAAATAGAGCAATACAATGACGAACGTCAAACGTACACGAAACCAGATATGATTGGTTGTTCACAAAACTTTTACCACATGGTGTTCATCGTACTAAATGTAAAAAATTCAAAGCAGCTCTTACCTGTTTCATTAAGTTTGGTATCATTCGCTACTGTAGCATTTACTGTTGAATTCTGGAATAAAAATAGTTTCTAGTATTCTCAAGTACTAGTTATCAATTTTTTCATACCTGCTGAACGTCGTCTTTTGCAGTCTCTTCGCTAGTTCCATTTCCTTCTTCTTTTGTCGATGATGTTGGTAATGTTACTGTTGTAGTGTTGTCTACTACAGGAGGTACAATATTTTCGTCCACGGGACTGGTAGAAGTAGTCTCATTTTCGGTTGTTGATGAAGATGGCTCATTTTCATCTTCAGATCCACTGCGTTTTCCAGCAAAAAAGCTGGATATCTTATTGCCCAGTTCTGAAAAAAAATTAGAAAACGATTTGCTTCAACTGTCATCAAATAAAACTGTCATGCGTGCATGTGAAGTTACCGCAAATAAAACGTCTAAGGTTAATTTTTTTTTACAAAGACCAGCTTACTAAAGAGACTAGTCACCCCGATACCGTTCAGTAGGTAACAAAAAAATATTGACTGCTTCCAATAATGATCGCATATTTCAGAAAACCACAAAAAAAGCGATAGCGAATAGTTCTTATCGTAGGCTTTCATTTATGAGAGAGAATGTGTTTCGCACAAAGCTTATTTATCAAAATGTCAATAACCATTAATAAGCAGAATAATTAATTATTAATTTAGATCGACATATGAGTGGGAAGGCAATAATTTTTCTGTTCTCATATTGTGCAAAATAGGCATACAACGAAAATGTACCAACTTTTTCAGCATGAAAAATGTGGAAGTAGTATCTGAAACCGCGAGAACAAACTATATGAATAAGTAATAATATTGTGTAGAAGAGTCATCATTCTTTAATGTTATATTTTAGACGTATCATTTTTGCTCATATCGTTTCTTCAGTTTTATGCAGTCAAGACATACTTGATAACGTTGATTCTTCATTATCCATGTCACTTGTTTTTTCTTCCACAAGTTCTTTTTTTTCAAAAACAAATTCAACCTAAACAAATCTTGTTTTTAGATATCAATTTAAATCAGTTTTTATTCAATTTTAAACATACCGTATCAAGTACTAGGAGACAATTTTCGTCTAATCTAAAATGTGCTTTAACCCCTTTTGATTCGGCTGTATCTTTATGCTTCTGATAAGCATCATGGGCACCTTTTACATTTACTTTACACAAATTCGTACGACCAAGAGTTCTAAAAGTTAAAATATGTAACATTGATTAGTTTCGGCTAACATGAGTAAAAATCGCCTACTTTTTATCTTGTTCAGATAAATATGACAAGTCTCCATAGTGTACAGTGAAATCAAAGTCATCAATGTGTCGGTTGAATGTCATCAATTTTCGTTGTGGATACAAATTATTACGATTAAATAGAGTGCGATCAACAAGTTTTGTAGAAGTTTCTGTGAGTTCTTCAGTTGCATGTCGTTCAAATTGAACATTAATTGGATACTGATTTGAATCTTTGACAATAAACTTTTTAACACGATAACCTTTGGATAAAGCAGCTGCTTGATAAACAGCACCCATCGCTGCTGCTTCATCTGTATTGATACTTTTACCCAATTCCGTTCTAGAAAGCGAATATAAGATGTAGCATGCGATAGAGCAACAGTAAAAAGTAAATTATTACTGTTTGACAGCTTTCAATAACTCTTCTTGAACTTTAGGAATACGAGTTGAACCACCGAATAATATAACTTGTTGAATTTCATCCTACATGACATAAAACAAAATTATAGAAGACAATGATCAGAGAAAAATATTCCTTATATTAAAAAAACGATTAAATTACAGTTGTTGTCATGTAAAAAAAAATTACAGAAATACTAATTTGCATTCCATACTATACATCTCACAACAAAAATGTGAATAATTTTTGAACAAAGCAACTTGCAGTTTTTGCCATTATGTAATCAAGATCTGATGGAAAATAAAGTTCAAGGTACGACGTCTGATAGTAAAAGACAAAGTTGATATATTGATCTCATGAAATCACTTACATCATAAGCTGTATTTATAGTCCAAAGTGTTTTCTACACATCCACGCAAGTCTGAATTATACAATTTATCATGGTTTGTGAAAGAGCTCAATTTTCTTCAATTGATTTTTGTTCTCTCAAAAAATCAACAGGATTTATCAAAATTTTTCGTAATTCGCGAATCAGAAAGCATAGTGAGCGCTTCATATAGGATTTATACTGAAATTATCAAGTGCTACGGACGGATTTTTGAGCAAGATATGACTTTTTTAATTTCATATGAAAATAGCGATAATTGGCTGCTTTGGTATAAGTTTTCATTAGGTTTTCTTTCCAAAAACAAATATCGCCACTATACTTGATATGCCCGATAACCTAATTGTTTTAAAATGGATGTGAACGACTCTTCTAGTAGCGAAGATTGAAGATGTTGTAGAGACAGACAAAAACAAAACCAGTAGCGATAATCCGCAACAATAGAACATGCTCCAGTAAAGAAATGAGACTTCAAGATTTCCCCAACAGTTGGGAGAAGTATCAGTATCGCCCAGTGTTGTACTAATCGAAACTACACAATATTCAAATGAATAAAAACGCTACATTTATTCTGTTGTGTAGAGAAATACTGTTTATAGAAGAGTTGTTATTTTTTGAAAAGGACCCGTCGTACACTTCTTGTCGACCTTAAAAATAAGGTTGACATTTATGCATAGTACTAGTAACATGTGAGCGATCACTTGTAAAGACTATTTAAATATAAACGTAAGTGTACGGCCTTCATACGAATGTATCATCATAACTTGTAGTTTCCTTTTGCACAATTTAGTGCAATGGGAAAATTCGTAGTAAGAGAAGTACAACGTATGAAAGGTCGGCAGATCGAAGAACTTCAAAAATTGTTCTAATTTCTGTTGTATGCAATGGACCTCAAAAGTTTAATCGATTGTTAAAATTCACAAAATATGAACATATTCAGTTCAAAATTGATTCCAAAGATACTCAGCAATGATAATTGTGACACAAATATATTGACGAAGTCGAAAAAAATCGATGTTATTAGAGGGCTATATTGTAAAGACGTGTTCTAATTGAATTATCAATATATGTTTGACATACATGGTGATATTTAGACATTAATTTCATTTTGTTTTATCATATTGATCTAAGTAAATTCTATGAAGCGGGAAAGAATTATGCTGTTCTATTAACCATGTGAACAATGAAAAGAAATGTTAATTATTGTTATTATTGTTGTTATAGTGAATCGAATATCATTATTTGTAAGCACCACACCTTACAATATTAGTAATGATTTATCTCATACAAAATCTGATCTACTACTACTAAAATCAATGATTGATCGGAAATATTTGAATATTACTTATTATGAGTGGAGAGCACTCTATGATTGTTGTTTAAATGAACGAATTGACATTTTTATTTATCAGAGTCTACAGGCAACAATTATATGTGCTGATATTTTAGGTAGAATATCGATGCCAAATCGAATAATGTATTCATACGATTTCTTTTCTAAAAGATTTTTCTTCAAATGGCTAAGTTGCTTTCTTAGTGAAACTTAGAACTGACAGAATAAAATGTTATGGTACTTACTCGTAATGAACAAGCGGCATAGATCTTAGGACTCTGATTATCTGTTGTTTTGTGTAATATTTAGTTTTGGATGGATGTCAAAGTGAAACAATGAAACTTTATTCAGAATTATCAAAATTATTTCTATTAGAATCGAGTGTCATAGAAGACCAAAAATTAACATCAATGAGTGATACCACTAAATTATTCTCAAATTATACCCGAAAATTTCTCTATGAACTAACAGAAATCTATTGTGATAACAATTATTTCATAAGTATTTATAACTATCAAGAAATGATACAATGTGATCAAAAAATTCGACAAGAACTTTCATTGACAAAACAAGATGTCGACTTGTATCTAGAATATAGCCACCAAAGTCATCAGACAAGACAAGCATATATTAATGGTCTTAAAACAATTATTAATCAATATTCAGCCACACATACACATCTGACTTACATCACTATGGAAACATCTACTATCACAGCAATTAATAAAACGACAAAAGAAGTCATGTCCAACCCTTTAGAATTATTTACGTTAACATTATCTCGTACTACTCAAGGAATATCAGTAGCATTTCGAACATCATTTTGTTCTATTCAAATTCTTCTTATTCTTCTAACAATCTTGAAAATAATAAATATACCGATGGGTTGATACTGATTATCATCCGTGAAACTCATTCTTTTTCTTTCTGTCCTACATGTGGAGTTTTTTGATCGAAATTATTCTTTAAAGTTGTCCTCCGTAAGTGCATACTTACTAGCGTAATTCCACTTGTTTTCAATACTTCTTCAACGGGTAATTTCACTCTCTGGAATAAATCCGAACACATTGTTTCAAATTGATCACGTGATATTTTATGTTTAAAATCAATATCATCAACTAAACCTTCAACCTATAAAAGATAATTACATTCAATTTGTTTTTCTAATCTAAGATCATATATTTTAAACCTGTGCTGTATATTCCATATTTGCACTCAATACTTGTTTGGCTCTTTCAGCTTCTCTAAACAATTTTGTCATTGCTCTTGGATTTTCCATTAGATTATATTTATTTTTATGTTGTTCATGAAATTTTTTCATTAGAAAATCTCGTATACGTATTTGAAATTCTAATCCACCTAAATTTCGATCAAATCCAACACCTTTCACTGTTAATTGTGGTACAGTTTCAAGAATTCCACTTTCTTTGGATTTTACTGTTTGATAAGTGACAATAGTAGCCGTTGTACTTTGTGAACCCATATCGTAAAACATGTAAGTTGAACCAGTTTCATTAAAATCTTTACGACGAAATACACCATAGTTAAGTGCCACAGCTGTATTATCATTCATTAATTGTAACAATTTTATTTGAGCTAAATCACATGCACGTTTAATTGATCGACGTTCACTTTGGGTGAAATAGGGCGGAATAGTGATAACTGCACTAGTTACAGGTTGTTCAGCAAAATCCGATGCATACTCTTTGGCTGTTTTCAAAATCATTGACAACAATTCTTCGACCGTATAGTTGGTATCTCTAGAGAGAAAAAAAATCACACATATCTATCAAATAGAGTTGGGTAAAAGTATTCGTAATGTTCTTGTAATTACTGCAGACAAACATTATATCAATGTTGCATACTTAAAACCCTTCCAATCAACTACGTGATTTTTATAAGCAATTACGAATTGAGGGAGGATATGAACTCAAAATTTCGAACTTAAATGAACTTCACACTCAACAAGGTATAAAATACAAGCATGCTTCCGCAGTTTGATTGATCTTGTACTTCTATCTATACTGAACTACAAATATTAATTCTTTCTGGTAAAAAACGAGCACTTATAGGGTACCAACAGTTCTTTCTAATGACCAGACGGACGATATTGTAGTTGAAAGAATAATTGGCAGTTGATCATAGTAATGTAAGAATTTAAAATTCAACAGAAAAACGAAAAAGAAGCGTGAAGAATGGAAAAATATCCAGACTGAAATTTGAGCCAATATCATTTTTCATTGAAAAAAATGCGATACAATTAAGAAGAATTCAGCAGTTAATCGTGTAGTTTTACCGATTAACCGAAACTGACGATATCTTGGCACATACGAAAGGTAAAAGCAACGGTAAATCATTAGAAGGCTAAATGAAAGGGAAAAACGTAGATCTTATTCTTTTTCAAATTATTAGAGGTTATAATGTCTAGACATCACTTATCTGTACATACCCGATGCCGAATCGACAACCTCTTTCCACAAATTTTATTATTACGATAAATTTCAGAGTGTTCACATGCGCTCTTCTATTAGTTATTATTAACATCACAAGGTGTACTTTATCGAATGATTACCGAATGGACAGGGTTGTAGATTAGAATCCTATAAGAAGGCATTCCGCTCAAAATTTGAGAAAATTTGGTATTAACTACTACAATTACACACACACACAGTACTGATTCTTGTTTAAAGAAAAAAATTTACTCATACTTGTCATGTTCAAATATAATTTGTTGTGTATATGGATCTGTATTAAGCTTATAATATGGGAAACGTTTTAAAAATTGTTCGACAACTGGAGCATCTATCGATTTACCAACTAAATCTGTTAAATACATGTATGATGTTTGAGGAATTTTCATGGACTAGAAAATACCGTTCAGTTAACAACATGGTATATTATATCAAATATATCTGCTCACCTTGGATACAGCTGCTTCACCAAATTCACGTTCTTTTCCTTTCATAGCAATAATAACAGGCGTTTTACGTCGACTTTCTCTAAAAGTAAATAAACAACAATCCTTTGTAAAGTAAAGTAGCATTTACTGATTTATTCAACACGTACTTGTTCAGTGCAATTTCCATCGGTATTCCTGGTTTAACGATAGCAATTTTAACAAATTCTGTTCCCAAATCAACTGACATCACAGCTAACGAATCTAAGCAACACACAAATATAATTTTTAGCGTAATAAGAAAGTAACATATCAAATAAATTACAGCATTTTTTTTTATTCTTAAGTGACCAACGATGTCTAAATATACTTACTGGATAGAGTAATCCATGATAGCAATAACAGTATGATGGTATTTAGATAATGGCGCATGTTTTTTGAGAAAATAGATTTTAAATATATCTAGAACAAAAAACGAAATGGTATGCAAACAAAAGATGCATGTTATGCGATAAAAGAGGTGAATAGAGAAACGAAATAGGTGTGCTACAAGAAATCGTGTTTGTATAAAAAAATAATGTGTACAAATGCAAAAAAACATTAATAAACAAACAAGAATGTTCCGTAATTTACTATCAAATTCTATAATGTCAACGAAAGAAAGAACACTGCGAGACTAAACAGATGAAGCTTAACAAACGAAAAGAAGAGTCATCTCTGCAGACAATAAGCTCTTCTCACATCAGATAGATGAAACTATTGAATGAGCTACGGAGAAAGTGACACTTATTTACTTGATGAGCCAATTTTTGTCGATGTTTTCTGTTTAAAAAATAACAGAATTTGTTACTATATTTACTATTTTTTTCAAAAGAAGATAAACTAGAAGTAAGCAATTTGGTAGAAAAGACTGTCATATAATCTCGCAAAAATTTGATTACTTTTTTGTATGGCGACGTGGATACGTTTTCAACGTAATAGTTACAATTAAACAAAACGAACGAAGAAAAATCGTTCAGATAACCATATCGAAAAAGGTTTCATTCAAAAAATCAGCACATAGTTAAGGCTTTAGTAGAAAAGCTTGTGTTACGTAATGATTTGTTGTTCTTCTGACGCTATTGATGGTTGTGGCGATGTAATTATTGCTTCTTGTTGAATCATTTCTTGAGGAATACTGATTGATGATTGTGTCGTCGTTTCGACTTGGGTAGGAATTGCGTTGTGTTCGTTTGTAGTTATTGCTGCTGGTACAACTAATTGTGCAGGTGGTTGTTGACCTAAGTCATGGAAATCAACAGCTGTTTATCATACTAGTTTTCATGGATAGTTTTTGTTTACCGAAACAGTGTTTCGTCTAGTCACAAAATTTCACACTTACCGTTTGCTAACTGTAATGGTAGTTGTGGTTGCTGATAAACATAAAACTGTTGTTGCTGCAGATCTCTTAATCTCTTTTCTAATTCTGATTTTTCATGTTGTAATCGATCAATATTCATACACAGTGACATAACTTCTTTTAACAATGCACTACGACTAAATGTATTATATCGTTCATAACGACATTGGTAATAGATATCATTAAAATCATCTTCATAATTCAATTTCCCTTCTTCCATATCCGACGATTCGCCTTCACCCGATGTTGTTGATAAACAATCATCATCAACATCACCAAATAATTGCTCAAATGAACTATGAGGAATAGATGAGCCTAAAACGATAAAAGAAAAGCCATCTGAGCAACTGAGAACAGATGACTTTAACACAAACGTATTTCTGAACCCTTTCTTAACACTGAAAGGTTGGCAAGTAAAATATTATACCTCTTCAAAATCGAAATATGATCGTTTTTCCAAATAGGTTTAACCTCCCACTTTTGTTTTCTGTTTTTGAGGCACTAAAAATCGTTTTAAAATCTGATTTTGAACTTATTTGATAGAGAATTCATTGCTCTACAAAACTGTCAACTTTGTTTTTCAAATTTTTCATTTTTCTTGTCGGCGTAAAATTTAACAGATTAACATCTACTTAATCGTCTAACTGAGACGGTCAGAAAACGAAAAAATAATGAAAAATTTTTAATAACAGTTCCGCTGAAATTTCAAATATGTCGCAAAGTTTTCCGTAAAATTGTACACCTTTCGATGCATTTTTCTGACAGACCTATGCCACTATTCTTCTTTAATTCGAAACTACCTAAAAGTTTTCACTGTTCAACTTAACAATCACACTGTTTTGTTCAGTTGTAAATTCTACATGCGACGGCTTGAGAATCAACGTTTCATAGACCAAGTCTAGCTTTGGAAAACATGATTTTCACACCTGCATCCAAAAATACCACTAGGTGTTAGTTCCAAGGCTATTTCTCCTGAATGATAGATAACATCAGAAACCTTGAAAAGGCCGTGAAAGTATAGAGCACAAAATTTTCTATCTATCGATATTAAATATACATTTTACTTTTAGCACCGGACTTGATGAGCGTAGGCTTACACAGATCGATAGATGTCTGCAGAAAACAGGAGATCACAGTTGGACGATTGAGCAGTTGTTAATCTTTTAAATTTTGCGTCGACAAGAAAAATGAAAAATGCTTACGTATATACTTATTCATAATATTTTCTTTTTCTCACTTCTTCTCTCATTTTTCCTCTTGTACTATTTAGTATGGGTTAGCGAATCTGTAACAATCAAGTGTTTTTCTTTTTTTTACGGTGACTACATGTATATGGATCTGCGATCCGCTTTTGCGGCTTGTAGTTTTTGGATCTTCTACTCTTATATCAATAAACGAGATTAAATCAAATGAAAAATTTGAAAAACAAAGTCGACATTTTTGTAGAGCAATGAATTTTCTATCGAATGTGTTTAAAACCAGGTTTTAAAACAATTTTTAGTGCCTCAAAAACGGAAAACAAAAGTGGGCAGTTTAATCTGTCTCACCCGTTACTAATAAGAGCCTTACCCGATGTTTGTTCTTTTGGCTGTGTGGCTGGTGTTTGATTGCCGGTACTGTTGGGGAGTGTTGGGGTTTTTCTGTTATGATCTTGAATAATAAACTGTGTCGTATTTGATGGTGCTAACACATTTCCACATCTTAATAATTTTTCTTTATCACGTTTTACTTGTTCCAAATGAAGCTTTTCATATTCAGCCTGCGACATGCCTGGCGGTGTACTCATTATTAATGGAGTTCTTGCTTGTGATTGTTGTTGAGGTTGCTGATATCGGTGGCGATATTGTTGTTGAGGTCGAGAATAAGGATGATAGGCATTTGAAGCTGCGACAGTCGAATGTCGATAACGACGATTTGTTCCACCGCGACGATTATGATTTCTTTGATTCCGAGAACGTTTATTTTGATTTGAACTTGAGTTGTTTGGATTAAAATTGTTATTATTCGAAGCAGTCATCAGTTGAGGCGGAGGATGATGATTTAATGGATGACGCATAGAGTTGTTAACAAAACTCATCAAAGGAGGTGGCGGTGGAGGGCGAATTGAACCTAAAATAAGAAAAGATTTTGTAAAATACTCTCTACTTTTGATTTTGTTTATCGCATAATACCAGCTACCTTCTCTGACAATTGCAAAGCTGTAGAATCTGCCTATTTGCTCAGGAAAGTTTTTGAAAAATTGGAATTTCTTGCAAATATTTTATAAAAGAAATTCTGTTCGTGGATTATGTCGGAGAATTTTTGAAAAAACGTTTTCCGTCGGGGGAAATTTCCCAATCTCACGCGTAGATTCTGCGCCTCTGAAAAATACATCAAAGAAGTTCAACAAAAAACGGTATTGGTTCTAGGACCAGTTCGATAAGAGAACTGCTGTATTCGTGAAACTCTAAGTAACCCAGAAAGATGACGTTTCTGTGAGACAGATGATATTAGTCGAGTCATCAAGTTGTAGGACGCCTAACGTCTTCACTTGTACTGCCTTACACTAAAAACTATCAGAGTTGTGCATCAAACGTCGATCAGGTTTTCATGACAAATTCTTTAGAGACAAGTGTTTATGATCGAAGACAACATTTGTTCAAACAACCATGAACATCGAAAAAAAGAGTAAATGTGAAACTTCATTTTACCATCGTTTTCTGTTTGTATTGAGTTCATTCTTTTCCTTGATGATAACTCAAGCGTGAAAAACCTAAGATGAATCTAAAGCGAAAGAAATCAGACATCGACTTATCAAAAAAGTTCTAGCGCTTGAAAATTTAATAAACTTCTTCTTTGATGGATATACTATTTTCTTCTCCTCTAATTATAAGAACACGTACATGTAATCATGCGGGAAACTACATGCAACTCATCATCATACAAACGCGGTTTCGACGCATTTGCGAATTTTGTCTAATCAAAAATGGGGTCCCAGTCTCTTTGAAGGGGTGATTTCAGTTCATTCTATTTCCCATATTATCGCATCTTTAAATGACTAATTACTGTTTTTGAATGAAATCCTTAGTTTCTTTTTACGAAAAACACGTTGACCTTTTCAGGAAAATTTAATATTGTAATAAAACTATAACACATGTTAAGTGACGGTCGTTATTGCGGTTACGGTCTTTCATGAATAGAAAATGGTGGGAAGCTATGGACTAAAAATTTCACAAAAAGTTAAACCAGAGCCGTTATAAGAGATGTAGAACTTAGATTTTCTCGTTCTCCTCTGTAGTCAACTATGTCCGCATGCTGCGTCACGTGTTTAATTAACTACCAAGTCTTCTGTACTATTGTTATTTTCTCCCTCTATCGTTACATGTACGTTCATTTGTCTATAAGCCACTGTTAATAGAACCAGTTGACATAAAAGGCAATACACACAGATGCAGAATTTATCGCGGGTATACCGAAGACTTGTTAACGGTTAATGTTTGGATTAACGATCGTTCATATATTAACCTATAGTGATCTTGAGCATAGCGCATTCAGTGATGAGTCATGTGTTACATTCGAACCATAAATTGTCATATTGTCTATTCGTACTAGTGTTTACTATATATCCTCGTGGAAAAAAATAGTTCCACACACTATTTTTAAGATATTTTCCTTACGAAAATATACTTTTACAAAAATGATCACATATTCTGATAGCGCTTGGAATTCTCTACAATTCTGTATATTTAAATCTGGTCTTGCATTTATTTCGTGAAAAATACATTGAGTGCAATGACGGCCCCTCATCGTCAGATTCCCAGAAATTGTAATGAGTGTGGCATCTCAATATTTTCTATTTTTCTCATGTTCCTTTAGGACCCAAAGGTTAATGTTTTTTTTAAAAAGATGCGCCGCGAAATGCTCTACAAAACCATACCTAACCTTTAATTTTAGAGCTTCAATCAAGAAAACTAGACTAAGATTGTTTATTCACGAAAAGTGACAGTCATCAAAGGTCACCGACCTGTAGTAACAATGACTCAAGCCAAACAACACCAAAATAGTAATAAAAGAAATAACAAAATAAAGAAGACAACTAAGATTAGAACCAGAAGTAGTA